GTAATTCATAATGTTTAAAAAAAATGGGATGTCTACTCAAACATGGCTATCGACTAAAATAACGTTTGGAATATTGCTAGAATATATATATATAGTGAGTAGAAAGCGGAAAGAAAAAAAAAAAAACGAAGAAAAGAAAAAATAATCACGACACCTTACAAGTACGCACATCCGAGCAGACAAGCACAACGGTGTATGCGCGCAAACGCACACACGCAGACACATACACACACAACGAAAAAAAGACTTGCACCAATCATAAGTGTATATAAAAAAGAAAAATCGAGAAGTATAAGCAGTCAGTTGCTGGTATCCCCTGATGAGTGGACAAACGGGTCCGTCTACAAAACTTTGGAGACGGTATGTTGAAGGTAAATGACAAACCTTTTACTTAATAATTATATATATATATATATATATATATATATATATATATATATATACCCCTGGATATGTGTTTCTATTTGATTTGTTAAAGATTAAATGTATAAGTAATATAGTTACATTACAGTAAATGATCACATAATGTAATCAATATGTTTATAGGTTTGAAAAAGGACTTTATCAACAATATAGATGAAACAAAATCATTTGATAAGGTACGACACAAATATCTATTTGAACCGGTAGGTAAACTTGATTAATGTGGGAACGATAATTCGAATAAACCAGAACATTTACTGTGGTGCAAATCGCCTGCATATGGATAGAAAATGAGCTGAGCCAGCACACCAGAATAAAAAAGAGGCCCTTTCTTACCAGATTTATTTAACTTTTACAACGATAAAAGAACTAGATGTCCTGCCAGAATTTATTATTCCTGGGCCTAATCTTAACAACATATGATATGCAGGTAACGCTATGTTGATGACAAACACACACACTAAAAACAAACCTAGAAATGGAACTATCTGGAAGGTGTTTTAGCAGATGTTGGAAAATGTGACACGGAAATTCGAAGCCGCACTGGACAGAAGCTTTCCAAATGTTAAACAAGGTATTAAGAAACAGGAAAAAGGAAAAGTGTGCTGAACTGCATTGTAATATAAATCTACCTGTAAGGCCGTGAATGTTTACAGATGAAGAGGAAACTTTAGTCACCAGAGATGTGGTTCTACAGGAGGATATTGAGAATACCATGGGCTGAGTATTTGAGCAACGAAGTTTTAACAAAAATGGAAGCAAAAAGAACATTTAGAATAAGAAAGTGACAATTGAAATTTCTGAGAGGCATAATGAGGAAAATGGCTTGGAGAATTTGACACTCACAAGACATTGATAGTAAGAAGGACAGCGGGAAAATTACCTAACGCGACCGTGTAACCGGATTACGAGACAAGAACTGGGAGGGATAGTAAGGAGACAAACATTATTTCGATCAACGAAGGATAGGAAGTTGTGGAGAGACATGGTCGCTCACGTCCTGAAGGGACACGGCACATAAAAAATGAATATGTTCCTTGTGTGTTAACATGAAATTGTACTCTAACTCTAGGCGATCATGTATCTTTCGATACAGTAATAGTTTGCCATTTCTTTCTGTGGTAGACCAGTTGAATCCAAAGCTATAGAACCCGGTCTATCTTCCTATTTATCCATAGCTGGGGGGTAGGGTAGAAGAGGATTCATACCTTGCCCAAGGGTATTAGCACGTAAGTGAATGTAATGGAATTCGAACTATCCGATTCCTCAATCCGAGCCGCTATCCATTACTCCACCATTGTAAACGATTCTTAATTGTTCGAGTTAATTCTCTTCTAGCTAATTTTGTTTTGATTTGTGTTGTGGACGCCTTGTAGCTCTTGTAATGTGTCGATTTTGGCGAGCGTCTGCAGTAGGTGGCCGGTTAGAATCTGATCGACGGTTTTAGAATTATTCATTTGTTCGCGCTGTCACCAGCATCGAAGCACCGCCGAAACGGACCACATGTGCAATAATTCTTTAAAATGCCCATCCAGCTTCTCGAAGGTTCACAATCCGACTCTCACCTCAAATAGCTGTAACAGGGCGAGAACGTGTAAATCTCCATAGTATGATGCCTGCTTGAATGGGATATCTTTTAGTAACGTCTAAAGCTCAAAGGGCAGCAGGTGCACCGGTATGAGTGTTACTAGATCACAAGACTACATCAAATATTTTCAGAATATTTACAGCACATTACAGCAGACCTCTGAGGATGTAACTTTTAGCAAGCAAATCGGCTATTAATCCCATGCATGCATATAATGTTTCAAGATCAAAATCGATATCGTCTATCAGGGCATTAAATTCTATTTTAAAATATAAAATACATATAATGTATTAAAGGTAGAACAATCAGATGGAAATAACGTCAAGCCCTAACAGATATTCACAGAGGGAAGGCTGTCTGGACATATATATATATATATATATATATAATTTATTTGGGGATTTAGGCTAATCATATAGTAATTCGTCGAGCCTAGAATAATCCTCAACAGAATGCAGAAAGCACTATTCTTTCGTCCTATCTGGGACTCATCAGCAGTGCGCATCCGCTACCAAGAATCGAACCAGGACCGTTTCGATACAACGCAAACGTCATAACAACTGTACCACGGGCCTCGATGACGAAGAAGACACAAACTAGACTCGGTATAGCGCCGCTACTCTCTCTGTTCCGCACTTGGAGCACTGTTCCGACGTTATCTGAATATTTGGATGAGTATCGCTGCGGAACTGAGTGAGTAGCGGCGCTATATCGAGTCGAGTTTGTGTCTTCTTCGTCACCGAGGCCCGTGGTACAGTTGGTATGACGTTTGCGTTGTATCGAAACGGTCCGGGAGTGGATGCGCTGATAAGTCCCAGATCTGCATTCTGTTGAGGATTATTCTAGGCTCGACGAATTACTAAATATATATATATATATATATATATATATATATATATATATATATATATATATATATAAAAGAAATATAGTCTTAAGGTGTGCTATATTTATGGGATAAAGTGCTCAATATCAGAGATAGAGCGTGTGTAAATATAAAAGTGAACATAGAAGTCAACACTTAGAGGCGACAGTCTGTTTCATGCTATATGCAATCGTCAGGCCTGACGTCTAGTTCCCCTTCTCGGCCTTACTAGCAGAGTCCAAAGGAGAGGATAAACCATTACAGTTTGGTACCAGCGCGGCTGCAGGAGTTTCTGGAAGGTAGCACAAAGTGCCGTCCATCCGCCTTAGGGGCTCCACTCCGGGTTTGAATTCAGAGTTGTCCTTCAGAGTTGTCCTTCTCCTAGACCTAGTTGCCATCCAAGGCTATAGAACCCAGTCTGTCCTGCTATTTACCCATAGCTGGAGGGAGAAGAAGAGGATTCACACCTTTCCCAAGGGCACTAGTGAATGTAATGGATTCGACTGGAATTCGAACTCGGCTCTGCGATTCCTCAATCCAAGCCACTATCCATTACTCCACCGTGCCTCCTCTTATCTATCTATCTATCTATCTATCTATCTATCTATCTATCTATCTATCTATCTATCTATCTATAGATAGATAGATAGATAGATAGATAGATAGATAGATAGATATACAGGAAGCGACGGGTAAATTGTCGCCATTTTATATTTTTAATTTCGCTCATGCGCATTATCCGTTTTTGTCGTCTGCACAATATTGTAGGTTCACTTGGGCACCGTTTGTGAGAAAAAGAGCACCATGACGCAATTCACTCCGCCAGAAATTTGGAAACGGCATGCTTGAAATTCGCACCGGAAGCTCCAATACGATAATTTCAGAGTGAAGACAGTGCAGATGATTCGGAAACAGTTGGATGAGTCTAATAGTGATTACGAAGATGTTTGGAATGATCACTAGTGACGGCGACGTTATGCCTCCATTCACCTTCTCACAGGACCTCAGACTCAACATGGATGCCTACATCAAATGCCTTGCGGAGGTAGTGCTGTCCTGAGTCAATAGGGTAGCTACTGGGAGTCCCTATGTCTGGCAACAGGAAAATAAAATAAAAATGAAAGCATTTGATGTTTGGCCACTTGGTCAGATTTTGGGGAGTGGTTTAGGAAGAGATCTTTTCAGCACCCCTCGTTTTTCCGATACACAATGATGGAATATTGAATAATGGAGAACATACTAACCTAGTCTTGATACAAACCATTGAGGAAATAAATAAGATACTTCATTATCACTGGAAACTGACATAGACAAATCGAGGATGCTTATACGAACAATGTCTTTAAACTCTTATTTACACTATTTACATTATTCGAACTGTTGCCCTCGTCTTTATTGTCACGTTCATAACATTTCAGCATACAATACCTCATCTCAAAAATATAGACAGATCATTCAAACCGAACCCAGAATAGTCATTTGAGTCTTCTGGGTTCGGTTCGAAATGAAAAAAAAATATCGCCTGAAACAGATCGGAGCGTACAACGGCCGAAACGTTGTGAATGTGACAATAAAGATGAGGACAACTGTCCGAACTATGTTAATAGTGTAAATAGTTACAATAACTCATATTAGAAATATAGACATATCATGAAGAATGCCGGAGCATACAACAGGCGAAATGCTGTGAATGTGACAATGAAGATGAGGACAACAGTCCGAACAATGTAAATAGTGCAAATAATTAAATACCTCATCTCAGAAATATAGACACATCTTCACGAATTATTCGAAATTCTGAAGATATTACAAAGAAAGCAATTGTTAAGAGTAGTTTCATATTCATGAAGCCTAGATTAGTCTAACAACAGATAAAACTAGCATCAATCTTTTCATGTACAATACCTCATCTCAGAAATTTAAAAAAAAAAAAATCACCTGAAGCAGGTTAGAGCGTACAACGATCGAAACGTTGTGAATGTGACAATAAAGATGCGGACAACAATCCGAACAATGTAAATGGTGTAAATAGTTACAATATCTCATTTCACAAATATAGACAGATAATAATTTTCGCTAGTATTTTTTAAATTTTTTTTCTTATCCTTCATCGCAAATCTCGCTTATGGTGAAATCACGCTGGAAACACCGGTTCTCGTTCGATCACCGAAGTTAAGCGATGTTGAGCCCGATCATTATTTACATGGGGGACAACTTGGGAACACCAAGTACTGTAAGCAACCTCCTCTAAATCGAAATATGTTTCGGCTTTACTACACTCTAAAGGGTTGATAAACCGTAACAAAACAAAAGACAAAAACATCGTTATTTCATGGCCGTTAAATTATATAATGCGAATTTAAATCACGGTGATATCTAAATATATTCTCGGTATTTGGGGGATTTTATTGCATTGCTTGGCCGGCTTAGGAAATTTTTATGGCCTAATATCACCTGAAGAAAGTCGGAGCGTACAACAGTCGAAACGTTGTGAATGTAGCAAAAAAGAAGAGGACAACACTCCGAACAATGTAAATAGTTACAATACCTCATCTCAGAAATACAGACAAATCTTCAAGAATTATTCGAAATTCGGAACATAGTATAAAGAAAGCAATTTTTAATACTAGTTTCATATTCATCAAACTCAGATTAGTCTAACAACAAATAAAGCTACAGGACAAGATAATGTAGCGCCAATCTTTTCAAGTAAGATTATCCTACTTGCCTTGAAAATCATCATTTGAAATTTTGGTTTTTATCAGGGCTCGATCACCGAACTTTGGTGCCAGTGATAAATACTCAAGTACCTCAGCCAACCTGAATCGTGTGTGGGTGGGGGCATATGTGATGCTGTATAGATCAGAGGCGATCTACAAACGCCCAGCGTTTCATTTGCTTGATCACATGAATCTATGCATAGGTGTACGCCCCTGGTGTATGTACATGCATATATTGTGTGTTTATATCTGTGCAGGTGTGTGTATATGTGTATGTACGCAAGTTCGCACGCGTGTGAATTGCGTGTGAGACGCTGGCGCAAAATATGACGACGTGTAAAACATGTGTGTCATATTCACTACCAACCCAATCACAGCCAACGTCATTATATCGGAAAAAAATGTTGTTGGCGATTTCACTGGTTGTTAAATCAGTGCACAACAAGGATTTGAAAAGAGGGTGAGGGTTGGGGGATTGTCAACAGGGAACAATATGGTGACGGGAAAGAGGGGGATATAGGCAAATTGTAATCAATGCTAGTCACAGGTGGTCAATTGGCGATTGGACGAAGAGTAAATTTGCGTCGTGTCCATGTCAGTTGCCGTATAAGACCCCCCTTTTGGGAGTGCCTTGGGTTACACTGCCGATTAAATCACGACCTTATCACTAGCTCCATTTGTATCTCTCCCAACGAATCGTTGCTGCCAGACTGAATTCTCAGGAAAAAAAAAGTTTCGACTGTTTATCAGATTTATCTTCAGCTTTCCGTAAGTACGATTCATTCCTAAACATTTGCCTTTGTTAACTTAGCAATTTATGTTCGAAAGCAATTTTGTAATTACTCAAAATCTTTTATTATCTATTGAGACAACGAAATTTCTTCTTTGCGAAAATAATGAAATTTAGATTAATATAGATACTTGATAAATGTGCTTTAGTCTGGCACAAGGCAAAACAAAAAGAAAGACTGTGGTGCTTTTCAAATAGACTGAGTGCCTGCGTAAACCCCCCACCACCAAAAAACATATTCATATTTTTAGTCTCATTCAATTACCAACCACAGGTAATTCATTCAACTACCTTAGCCATCAGGTGATCTCCAAAACTTTATTAATTAAAACGAAAATTATTTACATAACTTTATCTTTACTGGTAGTTTCCTTTGATTCCTACGGTATTATACTTGTAAAATCCATCATTTATTAATATCTCTGAAGAATAAAATAACGATTCCGTCGAAAATACTTAATGTATCTTTTTCTTGATAATGAGATGATTATGTAATCAACAATGTAATTAGTGAATTGATTAATTAATGTGATATAATTGATAAAAAGCTTTTAGGGGAAGGCGTTTTTCCTCCTTATAAATTCCGCTATAATCCGAGATGGAAAAATGATGAGTAGAAAAAAATCCCAAAAGACGTAAAATTCAATTAGCGAAATTGGATCCAAAAATATTCTTTATTTTAAATTTTATCGGTTAGAGAAAAAGTTTAAAATAATTATTACAATTTTAAGACTAAAATCTATTCTTAATTAACAAATCAGGGAAAATGATCGGTGTAATTAAATAGATAAAAAGGTAAGTAAATATGAATAAAAATGGAGATGCGCGTTTACAGTAGAACAATGGCGAGTCTATCGGAACTTATGAAGTAAGTTCGATTATCATGGTTGTCACATGACCTTTTCCCAGACTAAAGTAAGCCTTGAAAATATGCATTCATGAGGGTAAAACTCTCAATCCATGACTCGTGATATGAGCCTTACATCAGTCACTCGACAAAAATAGTTACTTAAGTTTGTCCATCAAAGTTAATCACCCACTGCAGTTCACACCACTGTGACAATGGTCTGCGAGACTATTTTTTTGACAAGCGTTCTAAAGTTAGCCTACGTCAAAATAAAAAAAAAAAAAAAAAAACGTCTCGATCAATTGTAAATGTTATCTTTATGCAAATGCTTCATATTTAGTAACCAACCATGAATCAAGAAACTAATAAGACGCGGCACTTTTTAATATGTTGATATTTTGACAATAATTCAGCCTTCTCCTTAAGTAGTTTATTTTGTGGCTTGAACTCCAGTATGCATGGCTTCCATGAGTTCAGCATACAATTATGCCACAGAAGTTATACAGCGTTGAGTTGAATGAAAGGTTACGTTTAGATTTGTTCGAAATCTGCTGTGGGATATTACGCTGTAAATAAAGTTTGAAGAGTTTAATGTAAAGCTTCTATTACGCGCGATTTTATGACGCTTAAAGTGTGTGTATATATATATATATATATATATATATATATATATATATATATATATATATATATAGATGTAATCAATTATTGTTCACACAGCAATATTTTTTTCCACAACTGGTATTTGATCAGATATTGAGAAGTAGATCCGACCGAAAACGTTTCGAAGTCTCCCCATCTCTCTCTCCACGCACACACACACACACGCATACACAGACACAGACAAACACACACAGACACACACATAGACACAGATCCACACACACAGACATACATATATATAATTTTATATAGTTATATATTTTATGATTTTAGTCAATAAGTACTATTGAATAACGGTTAGTGACAATAAATAAGTTAAAAAAAGACACCCCCCGCCCTCCAAAAAACTGGCAAAGTATAGTATTTGAAACATTTCGATATTGTTTTTCGGCCATTTTGACATTCCATAAATTTGATAAACGTGGCTTCGATGATTCTTTTTTTTTTTACTTTTGTGAAATAAATCGATTTCGCACATTTGACAGATTGACATAAATTGAACTGATGCACCAGGCGTTCGAATGCAAGGCTTGTCTTACTCCGGGAAAATCGGCATTCGAAATCCTGCTCTTTTATTTGGCTTCGAACTTGGATCACTGTTTAAGCGATAATTCTTTAATTATAAAATATCGTCAATCGCTAAGCGATAATCTGTAAAATTGATTGATCCCAAAATTGATTTCACAACTAGAAGGGAAATTGGATAAATTATCCTTCTTTAGATTTTTGCTTTGCGCTTGTCTTCTGTCCTGAAACTATTAAAAGAATGGTCGCTTTAAAGACTAGAAATTCTTTATTTTCATTTCTGCTGATCTCGGTTTGGATTTCCCATATTAACCAAGAAACGAAAATACATTTGAAGCACTGAACGAACTTTTATCATTTCTTATAGGCAATGGTAAATCTTCATTGTAAATACTTGAAACAATGTTTACGTAAAAAAATAACCGGTAAGCGAATAATTCATCCATTATTTGTCAAAGAAAGTAATTGACATAATTTAGCGTTATCTTGTCTTTGAATTAGAAATAAATTGTTAACAATGTCAAGTGGAGTAAAAAGTACTTAATTTCAAATTAATGCAACAGTAGCTTTCTTTAATATTTGTCAAATCAGTCACATCTTCAGATTATACAGGTGGTTACTATATTTTATGGTATGATAAGATAAAGAACGAATAACAAACGTTTCCTATTTATTCATTATCCTATCATTCTGTCGGATTCCTGTCCATATTTGATCTGTATCTGATCCCAATTCATTTTATAGTATATATGACCGTTTTTTGCACCCAAAATGTCTCAAAATATACTTCGAGGTCTATATACGAATTTGGTGAGCCAGTGTCCAGCCAAACATCATAAATTGCCAGTAATTCTATTGTGTCTTGTTCCATAATATCTATGAATGGGTGGGAAAGAGCGTTTATACCAACAATCCATAATATCTGTGAATGGGCGAGAGAAAGCGTATATGCCAACAATGTAGTATTTAAAATAAACAATTCGTTAAGAAATGCCGAATCCAAACATTGCTACTTGTCCGTTACTGATATTTATGAAGATAAATGAAGAATATGAAGAAAGTGTTGAACAAATCTTCTTAGTAGTGAGAGTGAGTCTGCTTTGAAAATCAGTATTCAAAATTATGGCTTGTATCTGGATTCGAACACTGGTATTCATAAGAAATGCAAAATTTTTGTCACCAGGCAACCTTTCCTTTTGAGGATAATTACTCAGGTGTGGGATATAAAGTGAAATGACGATATTTACAAATTGGTCAACGAGACGAAGTTGCAAGCCCATTTCTTTGACCATTATTTGTGGTCGAGTTGTGACGTGGCAACGACATCATGGCGATTCGATCTTTCCGCGATGAGATTTTTCGATTTTGTTTTGTAAAATATTGTCTTAACAGTGTCAGTTTCCAATCAATTTTAGATCATGACAATTTATAATCAGTAATTCATCCAATGATTGAATCAATCAATTTGTTCCACGTTTTGATTTACCAGCTGTGACCTTTTGAATGTGTTTGGCTACATTTAGTCAAACTCCAACATTGAAACAATCCTCTTCGTTTAGCATTCAATTCAAAATTGTTCATAATATACATATATATATATATATATATATATATATATATATATATATATATATATATATATGTATGTGTGTGTGTGTGAGTGTCTGTGTGAGAGAGAGATAACGATATATATTTTATATATTAAGAACAATATTGTAAAAAATGTATGAGAAAGTGAAAAAAGTTTTCTTGTGACACGTTTCATTCTTTTAGGACTTCATTGGACAAAACGCGTCACAAGAAAAAACTCTTTCCACTTTTTCATGTATATATATATATATATATATATATATATATATATATATATATATATATATATATATATATATATTTAATGGAGGTAAATGTATATATATATATATTTGTTTATGTATATATAAATGTGTTTATATATATAACGTATATATATATATATATATATATATATATATATATATATATATATATATATACTTCAAAGGTCATTTTTCCACTGAAGAAAATAAGCATCTCTGTTTTCATATGAAACCATAAAAATGCGTTAAAATGTGTTGTTAAAAATACTATAGTTTATTACTGACTTGATGTCACTTGTTCTGCATAATTTTCTAGCCCCAAAATCTGGTGTGTGATGATTGAAATTGTGTTAAGTTTGACCAGGGGTATTTCATTTTGTTTTTTTGCTTTAGTTTTCGCATTTTTACGCAAGCGGAATTTTCAATGACATTACTCAGTATCAATGAATAGAGCTTTTATAATAATAATAATAATAATAATAATAATAATAATAATAAATAGAATGATTGTTTAAGGATAATTAATATACATATATAAATATATATATATGTGCGCGCACCGCGCGCGCGCGCGTGTGTGTAAATTATTTCAGCCCAGACAAGGAGATTAAGATATAAAGAGTTATTTAGAGTGAAAGAGATTGGGAATACTTTATTGAATAGAAAAGCCAGTGAATGAACTGGATTCAGGAAGACAGAAGATGGCAATTGGCGCTGCCTTTAAATTTTTGATTTGAATATTGTAGTTGGCAGAGAAGAATGAAATCGGAAGGGAGAACTGCGGGAGAATAAACTATTGGAAAAGAACTGACTGTTGAATCTAGTGCAACAGTAAAACGCATAAATTCGTGCAGTTGAGGCATGGACGAGGAAAGCTCATCAGAACAATTGTCATGAAAATATTGGTAGACAAGACAGAGGCAAACCACGTCACGTTGGTGAGAAAGTGGCTGAAGTCGAGATGCCAGACCAGGATCGATTACATTGCAGACACTTCTTTAAATTTTGTCAAAAAGCTCGAGATATATAGTAGGAGCACAAGAACAGATAGGAAAGCAATATTCAATGCATAGATGAATGATAGATTTATAAATGTGCAAGATAGATT